AGCAATATCAATGAAGTTGGATCTGTTGGAAAAGAATGAAGAAAACATCAAAATAAACTGCTATATTTTTTGATAAGAATGCAACAACCTATTCACCTCAGTTGGAAAATCAGCTGGACAAATTAAATTAATGTTTTTTTTTTGTTCGGAAACATTTGTTGTCCTTTAAACTAATTCAAGTATTAGGAATTTAAAAAACTGGTGAACGGAAATAGAATTACGCGTGTATGTGTCTATGTGTTTGTATGTATATGGGAAAAGGCGACTCTATAAATGGCTTTTTTCCGGTACTTGATGATGCAGCATTTTCAAAAAAATACTACAAGTATTACTATAAGAAAGAGGAAAATTACTATAAGAAAGAGGAAAATTCTAGAAAAGCTTCTAAAATCTTCTTTTACAGAAACAATGATGTTAAGAAATTGATTTTTTACCGGTAGAAAACTGTACAAAGCTTTTTTTGTGTTGTTGACGATAAGTCTTTTTGTTTCTTTTCCTTTGGGTAGAGAATAACGGTAAAGCATCATCCATAATTGAATAGAAAAAGTCTCTAAGGAATCTTAATTGGTTTGAAAATACCTGAAAAAAAAAACTTGTAATGACATATCTTTCTATGAGACAAGCAGGATTTGCTGGCTGTGTATAATTAACAGCATTTTCTAGAATTAATATTTAGCGTAATATTTAGAGACAAATTGTTAGCTTTAGCTTCTAGAGTTTTTATTTTTATCGACAGTATTACGGAGATTTACACCATAAGGAATTGAATAGTTTTTGAAAATATAGCTGACAGTTTATTGATTCCTGAAATTAATTTTTCGCTTGAATAAAAAGTCTAGGAAAAAGCCATAGAATTCTCAAAACAAAAGGTTGAATTACTTTTACTGTAATTAAGAATTTTAATGATTAGTATGAATTTTAAAACAGATAAGTGTGCAGTTTCTCATTTATTATTTCAAGTTGTATAAACTTCTAGAATCTAGAATTTCTAAGAAATTTTTTATTTGCTTGCTGTGAGTTTTCCTCGCAACTTCACTGTTTCAGTGTTTAAGAAATCAATTAACGGTGTTCGCTTAGTTCAAAGAGCTCAAAACTTCTCATCGGTGACGGATATATCGAAGAACGCTACAGAAGCAGCTGAAGATGGCACTTACAAGGTCAGTTTAGTTGTTCCCCCTTCTTTACCTATTAAAAGTTTTTCTATCTTTTATGAATTAATTGTTTCTGGATGAAAAGTCAAAGAAAGGAAAAACGGAGCTTTTGCGATATCTTTGTCTGGTGTGTTTGCATGCCAGTAGCAAAGATTTCAAGAAGTGCCATCTGTGTTCTGGAAAAATGCAATTTTCTGCTCCTACAAAACTGATGTAACAAAAAATATGCCTGTATCAGTGCTGAACTTTAGCAAACAGCTGTTGGTGCAACGCCGGGCAGTAAGGTTAGCAGTGCTGAGACGCATAGAAACAAAGACACTGACGTTGGAAGAAGCGAAATACGGAACTTGCTGGATAGCTTACAGCAAAGAATCGAAAACATCGGTGACCTAATCAAGCCGGAAGTCGATAAAATAGAGGCTAATGGTCAGAAATTGTTATTTTGTTGTTTAAATCACTTATGCTTTTCGGTCATTGAGATCGCCCATAGACTAATCAAAGATTGTTTCCAACTTTATCAACTGTTTTTTGTAAGTTTAGCAACTGTAAACAGCAGTGCTAGTTTTGATTTAAGAGCAATTTGATATTAAATTTAAAGCACTACGCAAAAATCTCTAAAAATATTTTTCAGAAGAACAAATTCGATATCCTCGTAAAATTCAGGAACTCGACACTTTAGCTCATACTGTTTACAATGCTGGAGTCGAAATTGATGCTGATCATCCTGTACTTCTCCATATTCCATTTCTTCTGTGTCTTATTTCTTTATTAAAAATCTTCGTACATTTTTTATTTGAAAATTTTTTTTCAGTGCTTTTCAACCAATTTCACTTTTTTAGGGCTTTAAAGATAAAGAATATCGAAAACGTCGTCAAGAACTTGCAGAAATTGCTTTTAATTACAGACAGTAAGAGGTTTATTGTAACTACAGTTTTCCTGTCATTCTTATTCACCAGTTGTTCTTTTGCTTGGCTATGGGAAATTCTGAATCGGTGTTATCTGAGCGGCAATTTAAGGGGGCAAAAAATACCGAAAGTTAAGTATACGAAGAACGAAATCAAAGCTTGGAACGCTGTCTATGATGCTCTCGTCAATAACACATTGCCCAAACACGCTTGTAAAGAGTACCGCCAAGTGTTCCCGCTATTCCAGAAGCACTGTGGATTCCAGCACGACAACATTCCGCAGTTACAGGATATTTCTGATTATTTGAAAGGTAGATAACCTCAGAAGTTAAACAAAGCAAGGGAGTGATTGTATCAAAAACTTATTCCTTGAAAAGGCGACGTCACTGCAGATTTCTTAGACAATCCTTTAAAGGCTGTACATTAAAATGTTTTGGATAACATAAGCCAATTTATCTTTATTCAAAACTGTTTTTAAAAAAAACATCCAAAAAAAAAACGAATGAATTTCAGCAACATCCGGTTTTCTTATTCGTCCAACTGCTGGAATGCTCAGTTCTCGAGACTTTTTAGCAAGTCTTGCGTTTCGAGTTTTCCGATGCACACAATATATTCGACATCACTCAAAGCCTTTATTCACTCCTGAACCGTACGACTTTTCTATCGCTGAAGATTATTTTTTTAGATACAGATAATTATTTAAACCTTTGTTGAGAAGCTTTTATTTATTTTTCTAGAGATGCATGTCACGAAATTCTTGGTCATGTTCCATTGCTGGCTGATCCTGATTATGCACAATTTTCACAAGAATTTGGGCTAATATCACTGGGTGCACCTGATCACCTGATTTCAAAACTTGCTTCTGTAGGTCAAATCAGAAATCTTTATTAAATTTTCAACTTTTCAATAAATTTGAATTGCAATAATTGTTTATTGCAGCTTTACTGGTATACAATTGAGAACGGTTTATGCATGGAGAATGAAAAGATGAAAGTTTATGGCGCTGCTTTGTTAAGTGCGCCTGATGAGATTGAGCACTATTTATCCGGAAAAGTAATTCTTTTTAAGCAGTTCCTGCTGTAACAGAAGAGTATTTATATGTTAACAATTTCATACTTTTAATACTTGGCACTATTTTTAGCCCAAAATTAGGCAGTTTGATGCTAATGTAGTGGCCAACGAGAAATATCCGCTTACCGAAAAAAATTGGCAATACTTTGTGGTGAATTCGTTTGAAGATGCAAAACGAAATCTTATGTGAGTAAAACTTTTTTTATCAACATATATTCTGCTACCATTTTTAATGTGACGCTGTCGTGTGTATTGTATTTGTAATTTTAAAACTGCCAAAAAAATCACATTTTTCAAGTTGGTCTAGTTACTTAGAAAGTTTTGTTGTATCAGATACTCTATAATTTATTTAAAACTTTAAAAAAAACTACTATCTATGAACTGAACATTGCAGGCAGTGGGCATTACCCACTCGTAAGTGCCAATTGCGGTATAATCCTCATACGGAGATTATTGAAACCTTGGATAAGTCAGAAAATGTGAAAAAGTTCACTAGCGAGTTGAAAGGTAATGTTGATTCTAGTAATGAAAAACACTTTTTGCAACGTTTGCAATAAAAGAGCCAAAGGCAATGCTGCTTGAATTGTCGGTTCTCAGTGGACAAAGTATGGTTTCAAATCTTAAAAAGTGTGAAACAATGTTGTATTATATATGTCCTTGTAAATTTAATTTTTGTAACTTTAATTAGATAAAACCGTTTTTTGCCTTTTGTTCTGCTAATCGAAAAAAGTGCAAACGTTCACGAGAAGACGTTTCAAATAAAAAAAAAAGAACCTTTCAGCCAGATGAATGTTAGAGTAGTATAAAACATTCTTCAACAGCACAGTGCTTTCATGGATTACTTTTTAAAGTTTCAACAGCTGGCAGACTTCTTTAGGTGCTTTGCGCAAACTTAGTGAAATGCTGAAATGACGATTTTTAATGACTGCTGTAAAGCGAGATACTCCAATGTTGTCCATTATCAGTGTGAGCCTCGTTTTTAACACCTGTTGCAATACTTAAACGTATTTATTGCTTATATATTAATGTTAAAACTTTTGACGACTTGGCTATCGGAAAATTGTTATTTATTGATGATGATGTACCTAATAATCATGCTAAAATAAATATTAAATTATGTGTAAGAGTTTTTAACACTTTTTTAGTAGGAATTCGGATGACTGTTACATACACCCATATAGTGAAGACTTCTCATTAGTTCAGTCACCTATTTTTCAAAATATTTGTAGATTAAAAACTACTACTAGGAATTTCCGCATTGGTAATCCAATGCGACCGAACTGACAGTTTCTTTTATAATTTTCATGTTGCCCTGCCATAGTTATCGTGAAAATTCAGACTTACGCGATCAACTTTTAGGCATTTTATGTACCATTTTAGAAAATCTATAATAAAATTGCTCTACCTTGTTTCCTTCTGCGGCTTCTAAGTGCAATAAATTCAAATTTTATTCGTCGAGACGCAAGACAGAGAGGAAGTTTTTTAAAAATTTGCAGCTTTCTTTTCTTGCTACCCTGCCACTCGTTTTCCAACGCCGGCAACTTCGAACCTTTTGAAAAGAAGTATACGAAACAAATATGAGTATTTCCAGTATTTACTCATGTTCAAGACAGGGACGTTAGAAGTTGTAAAAAATGGAAAATGAAAATTTCACCATTTAATACCCGCCCATTAACTTAGTCAAAAGATCGATGTTTAACATAGTGCGTTACTGGTTCAATTATTTTCACTTGGAACCGAAAGCTTTGCTTAGTGTTTCATTTTTTAAGTGATAAATACTAAGCTAAAACACAATAAAGGCAGTTAGCACGGCATAATTTGGTACGAGGTGTAACAATAAGAAATTTTTAAGAACGATTTCGTTTGTTACTCATTTTTTTGATCTTCTTTCTCCTTCGTTGTCGTCTTCTGTTTTATATTCGCAAGTAATCAATCATTTTTGAGAAGTTGTTCCTTAAACTTACTTACAGGAACCAAATGACAGATTCAGACATAGTTAGCACGCATTATGTTGAATATAGCGTAGGAAGGAAGCTGAGGTTGACTATGACTGCTCATGTAACGCTCATTCAAAGAGTGTTTCGAATTAACTTCCTGTCCGATGCAAAACATCAACTAAAGATATTGGTTAAAAAAAAACAGCTCTGCCCTAAAGTTCAAAAATTTTTGATTTGAAAAAGCAGCAAATCATAGGTATATTATATCGCTTATTCAGAATTTCTAAAGTCAAAAATTATGTTGACAAACAGGTGCACATAGTAACAGCTTTTATAAAATGACTTCAAAAACGCCAATCTAAGTGACACTAAAATTCAGTGCAGAGGTTGATAATAAAATTTACTTTTTTTCTCTGTTTTTTTTTTTTTTTTTTTTTTTTTTTT